ACCAGACCAGACCAGACCAGGAGGCCTTGGGAGACCCAGTCCCAGCCCCTGGAAATGGCAGGGCCAGGTCGGGCTACGCGAGGTGCCAGGGGGCGAAGGCCGTTACCTGCTTCAGCTGCTTCATTAGGGCCTCGCTGGATTTGAGCCCATCCTCCTTGCGCAGCTTCTTGCGGGAGGCGGCCACCCGCTCCCCGCTCTTCTGCGCCCGTTTGGGCTTCGGGGCCGGAGGCTTCTTGCTGGCGGAGGGATCCTGTGGGGAGAGGGTGAGTCGCGGGGCTGCCTGCTGCCCCACAGGGCAGGGGCTGGGTGCGTGCCCTGCGCACCACTGGACTGACCCCCCACCCGCCGTACACCCCACACACACACCCGGCATGGCCCCCGCTCACCTCTCGGCCAGGGGGAGCCGCCTGCAGCCTCTGCTCCAGCCCCGAGAGTTTGCCCTCGCTGTGCCCGTTGACCTCGGCGCGCAGCCCCTCGGCGGAGCGCTGCGACGCCAGCTGCACGTTCTTGGCCCGCAGCAGCTTCTGCAGCAGCAGGTGCCCGGCCTCAGACCTGGCGCCCGCCAGCAGCTGGCTGCCCATCAGTAGATTGTTGGCCGGGGCGGGCGCCGGATCCCCGTTGGCCTCGCGTTTCACAGCCTGGCCCCCGCCCAGCACACACTGCGCCGTCTCCTCCTTGGGCTCCTGCTTGATGCAGACCCCGGGGGCCTGGGCTGGCAGGGGAGAGGCCTGTGGGCCTGGCCTTTCTACCCCCTGCCCGTTGACTTGACTCCCGGCTGGTGGCTTTCTCGATCCATCCGTGGGCTCCATGCTGGGAGAGGAGTGGGGACCCTGCGCTGCCGGCTCCCAGTGGCCAGGGGTCCTGGCAAAGGACTCCTCCCCTGTTTGGCTGGGGGGAGGCTTTGGGACCGCAGGCACCGGCTCCGCCAGGAGGCTGTTCTGGGTGGGCGTCAGCCTGTGCTCGGGCTGTGCCCCGGGGCTCTGTGCCACACTGGGCGGCCTGACCAGGGTGGGCGGGGAGGCTTCCTTTGGCTCTTGGGGGCTCTGTTCCCGGCTGGGGCGGGGGTGCTGCTGCACAGAGCCCAGGCTCACCATGCTCATGGGCGGCTGGACCGGGGCAGCTGCTGGTGGGGCAGAGAGTCTGAGCACCCCCTGCTGGGGACTCCGTCCCGCCAGCGCCGTGTGCACCAGCTCCGCCAGCGGCTGCTGGGGGGCGCTCAGCGGCACTCTCTGCTGGCCGGCGGACGCCTGCTCCATGACAAACCCTGGCTGCATCTGCTCGGCAGCAACGGAGGGGCCGGCTGGCCGAACCTGGAACACTGTCCCCGGCTGCCTCAGTTGCTGGCGCACCATGGAGGCCTGCAGGGCTGAGGGCGGGGGCGGCCCCTGCTCGACGGATGCCTGGGCCTGCCCCGGGAAGGGGCTGGCCTGTCTCAGCGCCTGGCTCTGCTGCAGCAGGGTCTGCTGGTGGCGCTGCACCAGGAAGGCCTGGAGCTGCTGCTGCTGCTGCGGGGTGAGGTGCCGCAGCTGCGGGTTTTTGGAGATGACGCCTTGCAGCTGCGCTCGGATTTGGCCCATCACGGGAGCGGACACCTGGCTCAGGATGCTCTGTGCATGGGACACCTGCGGGACCAGCATGCTCTGCTGCGGCTGCCCCACCAGCCCGGCCTTGTGCTGCCCCGCCGGGCTCGGCAGCCGCTGGCCCGCCAGCCCTTTGGCTTGCTGGTCTAAGCTTTGTGCTGGCGGCTGGCCCACAATCCTTTGCGGCGGCGGCAGCTGGACCATGATGCTTTGCCCCTGGCTCGTCATGCTCCCGGGCTGCTGTTGGGGTTCTGCCCCTGAGCTCGGCGGGGCCAGCAAGCGAGGCCCCTGGGCAGGGTCCGAGTGCGGCTGCTCTGGCCTCATGGTGCCCCCCAGCTGCGCCAGCCCCGCGCAGTTCTGCAGCGGCGGATGAAGCAGGTTGCCTTGCTGCAGGCCCCCCTGCATTCGCTGCAGGGAGCTCGCCATGGTCTGCTGCGGGGAGGGCAGTGAGCGGGGCTGCTGCTGCCCCAGCTCGGGCTGGTGTTTCTGCGGCTGCTGCTCTCCGCCCAGGGGCGCCAGCTGCTCCTGGCTGGGCAGTGCCAGGGGATTGAGGTTCTGAATGCCCGGCTGCTCCTGAGTGCCCATGTGCGGCTGCCCCCCGAGGTCCTGGCTGCCCGGCCCACCCACAGCGGCCGACAGCTGAACCGGATGCTGCCCCCTGCCCTCGGCACCCTCTGGGGGCAGCACAGCGCTCTCTGCCCCTCCCTGCTGCTCCTTGGCGGCCGTGCCCTGCGGGGCTGGCTGAGCTCCCTGACTCAAGTGCAGCATGGAGGGGGACTGGCCCAGGGCCCCATGCTGTGGAAAGTGCTGGATCTGCTGCTGGGCGGCCTGCCCCTGCCCCTTGCCCCAGGAGGCCCGGCTGGGCGGCCTGCCCCTGCCCCTGCCCCAGCAGGGCCGGATGCTGTGCTAGAGAGCTCTGCTGCTGCTGCTGGGTCAGCAACGTCCGTGACTGGCCCAGAAGTCCCGCCTGCTGCTGCTGCGCTGGCGATAAAATCAGCCGGTGGCCCATGAGGCCGTGAGTTTGCTGCACCAGCTGCGGCGAGCCCAGCACCCTCTGCTGGTGGGGGGCTAACAGCACCTGCCTCGGGGGGGTCTGGTGGCCCGCGACGCCCTGATGCTGCAGCATGGACACCTGGGAGTGCCCCATCATCCCCGGCTGCGGCTGAGGCGAGAGCGGCTGGACCAGGATCCCCTGCTGCTTCGGAACCATGGGCTGCCCCCCACTGCCCTGCTGGGGAGTAGGGGGCTGCGACACCTGTCCCAGCATGCTTTGCTGCTGCTGTTGCGACACCTGTCCCAGCATGCTTTGCTGCTGCTGTTGCGACTGCGACACCTGTCCCAGCATGCTTTGCTGCTGCTGTTGCTGCTGCGACACCTGTCCCAGCATGCTTTGCTGCTGCTGTTGCTGCTGCGACACCTGTCCCAGCATGCTTTGCTGCTGCTG